AACGAATACGAGACCTTCGTCATGAGACTCGCCCCCTGCCATTCCCTTGCCCCCCTTCGTCCGGCACGCCTGAACCGTCGCCGCCACCGCCGCCGCCGCCGCCGCCGCCTTCACCCAAGAAGGAGCGCAGGGTCCCAGGATGTCGCGGCCAGGGTGGCGAACTCTCCCACCTCCAGGTCGCTGACCGCACCCCGCACGCAACGGAGAGCACTGCCGTGGTCCCTTGGCAGCCAACGCGGGCCCAGACCCCATTCCTCGTAACAAAGGCGGCGAGATCACAGCAGCTGGCAAACCGTCCCTGTCAACCGCCGCCGCCAGCCACGAAACCCAAAATTGACGGACGTGCCCGCTTTTTTCATCTTTCCCCCGCCAGTAGCCCTGGCGAGGCGGGAGTTTATTTTCTTGTTGGGGTACAACATACGGCAACTCTACGGCTTATGCGGCAAAGAAGGGGGCAGAACTTACTTACTAACTTAACCTATGGATGAAGCCGGTACTTTGGCCGGCAACCTAAGATTAACACAAGACTGTATTCTTCTTCATGCTTATTAGTTTTAGTTTTCTTGGTTTTTTTTTATTCACACGCACATTCACTCTAGATTATATGTTCACTTGACACACGCACATTCACACGACACATATACATCTAACACTATTATACACTATGTGGACGCGCGATTTCTCCAAGCCGTCCGTGGCGGATAGCACAGTATGTATTGGTGGGTGGTGGGATCACTCGAAGGTGTAGGGGAACGATATTAGGTCAGTCTTGCACGCTTACGAAACAGACATGGTGAGATTCTGCGAGAAAGCTTCGACTACACGAAAGGTATCGCACACTTGCTTGGGCCCTTCGGCGCAAAATAGTCGGTGGACGCCACAGTTACTGGGCGCGGCGGTTTGCGCAAGAGCGGGAGCTTTCGGGCCCAGCGCCCGGTGACACCGGTGTGTGCTCCGGCAGCTGACGACTCACGCAAGGCCCGTAGGTAACTGTTCTATGGTGGCGTTAGGAGGAGGAGGAATGCGGCGCGTGGCGGTCCTACCGTCTGGTTTCGCGCCCAAATCGGGGCGTAGGGTCGAGACCAGCCGGTGCGCAAAGGTTTCGCCAAGCATAGGCCCATAAACATCGTATGCAAGGGTGAAAAGGAGACCTTCTGCGAGGAGAAATGAGGATCCGGGGAGCCAAGGAGGGGACGTAGAAAACAGGGAGGTCTCGCAAGAATTTTTGTGCCGAGTCTTGTCGTGCTCGTGCAATAGAGGCAACGATCGAGTACGCTAGATACTCGCGCATGTGGAAGGAAGATGCGCGCCGGCAAGCAACACCGGTTTCTCGGGTTGCCTCTCACGGGTGAGTTAACGGCACGCATATTTTCAAGGTTTAGGTAGGCGTTCTGGCGTAGCCGGTGGAAAGGGGCGAGGCATTCATTTAGGGATCTCAGCTGCTTGCCTGCTGTTGCGATTTGCTTAATACGCAAAGTCGTCGGAACATCAGGAAGCCGACAAGCTGAATTCCGTTTCCTTCTGCTGAGGGGCGACATATTGACGTACTAATGCCGAAGAGGGTGGAGAGAGTACTGCCTCCTGTGAAACTCGGAGGGGGGGGGGGGGGGCTGGGCCTGGCGCGTATAGGGACGATTGTACGCGTTAACTCGAAGTGTCGCTCACACTCACATTCGTCGTAAACTGGCCTCAAGGGGCGTTTATTAAACGCTGCAATTTTATGAGATAATCAAAAAGTTGAAAATTGGCGAATTTGACGCGCCGTAGATCTAAGTGTTAGAGATACAGCGTGAATTTGCAAAATGATATGTACAAAAATTCTTCAATTTTGAACATGAAACGCATCTCTAAACAAAGTTTCAACATCAAAAGTTTACATTATAATATTTCATACAAATCACTGTTTCGAATGATTGGTGGCTTTCCGGAAAACTGAGCATCTGATGGTAAAGTTGAGTCCAAGTGTATTCTCCATTTATATTTCGTGCTTAGGACTCTTGTTTTCCCGGAAAAACGCGCACGTCGAAATTCGCAATTTGATCAGGTCAAGGGTCATTAAGTCTTTTACATCTTTTTAGCAAAAGTAGCTGCCATATCAAAACTAAGCAAATATTTAAATTTTTGCACTTCCAACCTCGTTCAAATTTCTATTGTATTCAGAAAAATGCATTATTGCCATATTCAGACTACACCCATGCCCTGTAGAGGCGTTTATCAAAAAACTTGTTTAAACCCAGATTATCAAGCAATGCTTGAATTTTGTGAATTTGAGATGTTGAATTTTTTAGATGTTCTGCAACGGTTTCCAAATGTTTAATTCGGTATCAATAGTCTTTAATTAAGAAAGATTTTTGATGTATATAGATTTTTTGTTTATGCGTTCTTTCTTGCGTGAGTATGCTAGACTTTAACGTTACGGTTAGCATACCCTTTAGTGTTAAATAATTTTTGATGTTGTGGCATGGTTTCAAATTTTAAATTTGGTGTATGACTTGTTCAAAATTAGAAAAAATTTGAGATACTGATTTTTTCAATTTGTGATAAGTGGGATATGCTAACTTATGGACAATGTGTAGTGATCGGTTGGCTGTGATCTCTATTTATCGTTGCGCCTGACAGTCGCGGGTCGGAAAAATTAGTTCGTTTCGAGAACGTTGTGGCGCGTGGTCATGCATTGGGTTTGCAACGTCTCTCTTCGTATAACACCACACACACTCATGCACGACGCAATACATAGCCATACGCAGTATACATTATATCAATGCATTGTGTATGAAGGTTGTGTGGGGGTGTGTGTTTGTGTCATGTGAGTGTGGTGTGTATGTGGAGTGGTGTGTGTATGTGGAGTGTGTGTGTATTTGGAGTGTGTGTTGTGGAGTGTGTGTGTTTGGAGTGTGTGTATGTGGAGTGTGTGTGTATGGGCGTGTGTGTGTTGTGGAGTGGTGTGTGTATGGGAGTGTGTGTGTATGTGGAGTGTGGTGTGTATGTGGAGTGTGTGTGTATGTGGAGGTGTGTGTGTATTGGAGTGTGTGGTATGTGGATGTGTGTGTGTGTGTATGTGGAGTGTGTGGTGTGTATGTGGGAGTGTGTGTGTGTATGTGGAGTGTGATGTGTGGTGTGGTATGTGGAGTGTGTGTGGTGTATGTGGGACGTGTGATGTGTGTGTATGTGGAGTGTGTGTGTGTGTATGTGGAGTGTGTGTGTTGTGATATGTGGAGTGTGTGTTGTGTATGTTGGGAGTGTGGTGTGGTGTGTATGTGGATGTGTGTGTGTGTATGTGGAGTGTGTGTGTGTGTGTGGAGTGTGTGGTGGTGTGTGTGTGTATGTGGAGTGTGTGTGTGTGTGTGTGTATGTGGAGTGTGTGTGTTGTGTGGTATGTGGAGTGTGTGTGTGTGTGTATGTGGAGTGTGTGTGTTCGTGTGTGTATGTGGAGTGTGTGTGTGTGTGTATGTGGAGTGTGTGTGTGTGTGTATGTGGAGTGTGTGTGTGTGTGTATTGGAGTGTGTGTGTGTGGTGTATGTGGGTGTGGTGTGTGTGTATGTGGAGTGTGTGTGTGTGTGTGTATGTGGAGTTGTTGTGTGTGTGTGTATGTGAGTGTGTTGTGTGTGTGTATTGGAGTGTGTGTGTGTGTGTATGGGGTGTGTGTGTGTGTGTATGTGGAGTGTGTGTGGTGTGTATGTGGAGTGTGTGTGTGTGTATGTGGAGTGTGTGTTGTGTGTTGTATGTGGCAAGTGTGTGTGGTTGTGTGTGTATGTGGAGTGTGTGTGTGTGTGTATGTGGAGTGTGTGTGTGTGTGTGTGTATGTGGCGTGTGTGTGTTGTGTGTGTGTGTGTGTGTGGTGTGTGTGTGGTGTTGTTTGTGTGTGTGTGTTTTTAAGGGATCCCTCAACCCTGGGATAGGAAGCTTCCATTGGAGTCTCACGAAGGTTTAGATCACTCGTAGCAATATCTGCCAGGGGGCAGAGTGATCCGCATCCTTGGCATTGCAGTCGCTGGGTGACTGCGTCCTGCCCTCGGTGACTGGGCCTGATTGCTCACAACCGACCGCCAGTACTACCGCTCAGATCCCCTGCACCGTAATGGTTGATTCCTAAAAGACCTTCCAACCATTTTTTTCCCTTCTTTTTATTCTTTCTTCGGAGTCACCTTATCCTGACGTTTTTGAGTTCCTGTCAGCTAAAGAAAATGGAAGAAAAGAAGGGGGACAGTGAAGAATAGAGTTAGAATAGAAGAGTAGAATAGAAACGACTCCCTAGCCCTCTCATCCTAATAGCCTTGGGGTCGGAAACACATGATTTGGGCGATACGAAGATTGGCCTACAGGACAGGAAACCGAAGGGTGCCACCAGTAACTGGAAGCAATGCCACACCAAGTTTGTGAGAATTACAGGATGTTTAGGGGAGAGACAGCGGACATCTGCTCTGATTAGTAGAATCGTCCTCATCATGGTCATTATGATTATTATTAACATCTATATTCCTAATTTCCAATGAGTGCAGAAATTGAAAGAATCATGAGCCATGAGAGATGTGCCGATAATTTCGTTCTCAGGAACTCAATGAAAATTCAATGAAACAGTTTCGACGAGTAATGCAATTAAAGTTCGATTATTTGTATCATTTTTTTTTTATTTACATTAAAAACAGTTAAAAACTGTGTGTGACGTGCTATGGGGAGACGTTAGTTTAAAGTTACATTTATGCCCAGATTCAAAACAAGGGGCCATCTCAGCATTTGCTCGAGGTTCAGGGAAACTGAACGCAAACCTGATCGAGATGGTTTGAAGTGAAGTAGAATAGAACTTGCAGTATTATAACATTATGTAACTGTTCCAATTAATGCGAAAAATGTGCTGTTATAGAACAATTGTATTGTTTTTTGTTTGAGATTTCACTCATTGTAACTGACACCAGAGCATAAACTGTTCAAATATATTTATTTTTTTTTGTTGTTATATAAACCATAGTTTTGGTATTTTCATTGTATGATTTATTTTCCAGTTCTTTTTTATTTTGAGAAAGAAGAATAGTCATGTCTCCACCTTACATGTGATTCACCATGGCATTATGCCTATGAGTGTGTGGTTTGGAGTCAAATTTACTCCAGGTAAGAATTTTCATGTAATTTGTTTCTCTTGCCTTTCCATATTTGGATCAAAATAAGGAAAACGCAGTTTGAGATTTTCTTTTATAGTTAATTAGCATATTTTGTTTGTGATATAATCGAATATAAGCATTTCTATGCCTTGAACTGCTAAGCATGAGTCCTTTGATGTTTTCACAATGCTTATAAAATATTTCTCCTTACTGAACAAACAAGTATTGTTAAATGTTTTTGAGGGTTTTGTGAATTCACAACTCTGAATTAATATTATTGTGTCATCATCATTATCATATCACAAGTCTGTTGAGATATATGGATATTTTTGTTGAAAATCAACTTATTTATTACAAATGGTCACTTGATATTTTATTTGCATATTTATTTGCACAGGTGGTCACAGCACTTTCTTTGGTTTGGTAAATACATTTGTTCATATTGTTATGTATACATATTATTTATTATCGGCTATGGGACCTCAATATCAGAAGTATTTGTGGTGGAAAAAGTACTTAACTACATTCCAGATGGTAAGCATTAAAAGAAGAGATAATGCATTAATTTCATTCAGTTAATTCATTCATTACTGTGTATCGAGTTTGTTATATTTACCACTCTCTGCAAACCTAATTGATTTGTTCTCTCTAGGTGCAATTTGTTGCTATTATGGTGCATGCATTCCAACTACTGTTCATTGATTGCAATTATCCTCGAGCATTCGTTTGGTGGATTGGTCTCCATGCCGTCATGTTCTACTTCCTCTTCTCAGACTTTTACAAGCAAGCCTACACAAAGTCAGTCAGCAAACAGAAAGGAGTCAAGGTATGATTTGATTTAGTTCATAAATGGAACTTATCACATAATTTAAAACTTCTCAAAAATGTAATAAACGCTGCCCTCTCTCATGGAAAAATTAAAATTATTCTTCAGATTATTAAATACCTGTACCTTATCTTAGAAACTATATGAAATTAAGAATTGGTGCTTAGAAATTGTATATTTTTGATGAGTGGTAAATTTTTCTTCTTTACTTCATGTTTCAGATACACTTTCCTGACATATGTTACATAATCTTCCTGATTGTTTTCAGGGTTTTTTTATTTTCCTACTCAGAAAATTAAATAATATTTGTACTCCTTCTCAAATTAATGGTCACATACAAAATGCATTAAAAAAATAATAATCATTTTCAATATAACTTTAGTATTGGATCTCTTTCTTGCCATCCGCAACTTCTTTGTTTCTATTGCTTCCTTCTGTTCTGCAAGTTCCCAATATATGATGATTTTTTTTAAATTTAATATATTAATACAAAATTATATTTTAGATCTCCCAATTCTTTTGTTGTAGAATAAAATAATTAATTTCCTTTCTGACATATTAGAAAGTAATTACATTTAGTTCATACCTTACCACATTGTCACCTGCATTCAATGTTTGCTGCAATCAATTCTATACAGAGTACATGCATTATGTATTCAACTCCATATCATATGTCTAGACTTCGTATTTTAGGACAAATATCTAATTCGTTCCTTTAAGAGGTTGTAGAAAATGATAGCACATGTTTATGAATCTTGAACAAATAGATGTACTGAAAGCATCTAATAGTGCCTAATATATCCTAGCATGGCAGTTGACACCTATTTTAATATTTTTTTGCCTAAATCTGCCTAAAAAAATAATTGTAATACATTATCACATTTTAATTACTAAGTTTTTGAATTTGTTTTACCAAAGCATAAATACTTTCCAGAATTTCTCTAAATATTCACTGATCGAATTTGACTAGATACTGAAATCTCTCATCCAACACACTGAACATAAGAAGTTGTGCAAGTCAATATTAAGAAATATTGTTTCATACTCGTCTTCAATCAGCGTGCACTTCTTAGGCAATTGTACCCATTCCCTGTGAAATTCACAGATTGAGAATGAAAAGTATGAAAGAACGAGTGAAGTGAAAGTGAATAAAATAATGTGCATGTAGTCAGTTTCATAAACGTAAAACTACTAGACTTTCCTGAAAAATAAAAAAGGGCCTATTTTAATCCGTTTGTGATCAGTTTTAGATGCTGAAAACATAACTTTTCATGTCTAATATTTTTGTAATGCCTGGTTTTAGCATTTTGTAACCTACAGTATAAAATGTCATTTTTCATGCCTAATAATGCCTAATTACACAATTTTGTTACCTATTTTAGGTGCCTAAATCAACACTTTTTTGTGCCTAAAAGTCTATTTACAACATAAGCTCTTTCATCCTCTTCAAACTTTCTACCTGAGTTTTTGTATGGTATTAAAAAACATTTTTGTTGTTCATGTAATCTCTAGTGAATGTGTTTAAGATTTTTGTGTAATTTTCTGTCCAGGGAACAAATGAAAAATTGATTGATGCTACCCAGAGAAAAATTGAGAGCCAGTCGCAGACCAAAGAATACTCAAAACCACAAGCTGCTGATTATTATATTAATGCTGTTACAGGACTTCACCTACGACAAGTTACGAGAGAAATGAATGAGAATGGTTTACAGTAGCATTAGTTATTAATAAATGTAGTTTAAATTCCATGTTGTGTACAAATTAGTATCAATGATCTTCCAAAGTTAGTTCAAGGTTCATGCAGATAAGGTTAATTGTCTCATTGTATTGTAATTGGGAGTGCCTTACTGTAGTCATAAGTCACTGGAGTATCACATACTGAACAATTTTACTTTTGTGAAAGATTTTTTTAAAGGTAGAATCACTAAATAAGTAATGAAAAAGTGGGTAAATGGTTCTGTGGTAATTATTAATAATATCATTTGTGAGCTAAATGGTACCCAGTGTTAGAAGCCTTTTATACCACAAGGAGAAAGAAAGACTTTGATAAAAGCCACATTGGTGAAATATCTCTATAATATGTACATCAGATACATTAATCACACTTTATTTATGTATTACGGCAGTTTAGTACATAATGAAAATAGTTTTTCATTGGTGTTTTGAATATAGAACACACCACTTTCAGAAATTTAATTTTGAAAGGGATGAAATTCTATGAATCTGATGGCAAATAATTTGATCAATGTGTAAATGGAGTGTGAATTATTTCCACACATTAAATTACTGATTTGCATTAAGAAAACATTTTATATATAGCTATATATTTTATGGAAAATAAAAGCATTGTGTGACTAGTTGTTGTTAATACTTGTTTGACAAAGTTGAACTCCGTACTTTTTTTTGGTATTTATATACGAATAATTCTGTTGTTAACATTGAAAATTATATATTTTAAACGTTATATTATGTATATTATGTTGAACAACATTGATATAATTGTTATGTATACATGGTGGAGTAATATTGAATTTTGTTTCATATAATAATCAGATATTACAGTGGTAAAACTAGTCCAGTTGTATTGGATCTGTTGCCTTCCTATATAATTTGTTCTTATATGAAATGGTTTTTAATATATAGAAAATGTTATTACTTAATACTATCTCTACATGGTGCAATAATTTTAAAGTTTTAAATTGCTTTATTGGTTTCCACTTACATGTTACACTGCCACATGTATATAGAGACCAGCATTATTAGAAATAATAATTATATCCAAATAGATTTCCTCTTTTTATTAACTTATTTCTAAAAATATTTTGTAAACTGAAATATTAAAGAACAAATTACATGTTTCTTCTATAATTTTAGTGAAGAAAAAATTAATTTCTTAATCCCTGAGGTAAAAGATAATTTCTCACTTTGCAAGAAACCTGAAGCAAATGTAATTAAGAACACATCATCTGGAATAATATGTAATATGGATATGTAGTTTCTGCTGTATGTTTTCATGAACTGGTTTCCAGATTGCTACAATGATGTGGTACAAAATACCCTCAATGTTGTACAATTTTGTGCATTTGTCCTTTATTAACTTATTTCTCAAATATCAAATCATTTTCATAACTTTTATTAACAAATGCGTTACATTCTATTGATGCCTGTTTCAATTAATTGAATCCTACCCTTTTCAAACATTGATTGAAATATTTCTCAAAAATTTAATTATTTGAAGCATAACTAGGTTCGTATTACTGAAATGTTTTCACTTATAGAAGATTTGCAGACATTGTTGTGAACTTCGAGAAATAAGCTGGCAAATCTTTTTCTTAGGCTTTAACAAATACTGTGATTTATTCTAAAAGAAAAAAAATGTTATTTTTAACTTGATGATTTGGCAATACCATTGTTTTTCTATTGCTTTGTATAAATTACAGAATCAACTCAATTCTCTGCCAGTGGTGGCTTTAATTTGAGGGGGGGGGGAGGCATTTACTAAATCTTAACTTTTATGAAGATAAATTGATATGGTTTGTAATTGCACTGTCAGAATGAATTGCAGGCTCAAAGTTGTTAGCTGTGGCTATTATTTGAAATGCAGGTTTTAATTAATACAGAATATTCCATATGTATATAGTTTTAGTTAATATTTTATATGAAATAAACTTGTTTTTATTACATATATTTTCTATACACAAGCTTCATGTTCTTCCTATATTTAATACTTTAATGTGCATTATTATTTCTTAATTATATTTAAAAGTTTATAATTAGAATATTTGTAAGTGATACATGTGTACATCTTTAGGATAAACAAGGAAACATCAAGAAAATGAAAAGCAACGAAAGGAAATCTCTGAAAAATATTTCATACACTTGACATTAACATTTTCTTTGAAGAAATAAGTGATGTAGTAACACTGTTGCAATTGCACATAAATTAATGTCCAATTCAAAACAATAGAGAATTCATGAGGAACATTATTTTAAATGTAGAATTGCTTCCATGAGTGTGGAACATGAGTAATTTGATTGATGAATGTCTTGAAACATCCAGTACAAGATATAATAATCTTATAAATTATAATTTACACGTTGATCTATGGACACAAGATGTAAGAAAATAGATTTTAAATTATTAAAAATATAGAAAGCAAAAAATTTCTTTAAAAATTGAAAGAAAGAGACAAATGAGATCTCTAGATGTAATTAAAGATAATCATGAGAAGGACATAAGAACTGGAACACTCAGGAATATCTTTATTTTCCACACATCTATTGCACAAAAATGAATAAACAATACTGATATTTGATATATGTATGTATTTGGCATTTTAAGGTTGGATTAATCCAACTTTTGCCTGCTAGTGGTGTTCACAGACGAGGGGTTTGTTTTAATAATTATTTGCTCCTGGGGGTAAGGGAGACGTGGTGACCATGACGTGTTCCCATCACTGTACCTAGCTTATTTGACCTGCCTGAGCTTTCTTTCATCACACAGAAATCGCTACAGAAACTGAGATGATTTGTATTAGTAAGCTACAGCTTCATTGTCTGGCCAAGAATTGAATCAGGGACTGCCTTAGAAAGCTAGCACCCTGCCCATGAGCCACCCACAGAACCTCAGGAGTGAAAATGTCCAATTTTTTTGCAGGTGTTGCTAATGTCACACTTTTTTAATTTTATTATTATTTGTTATTCTTTTTTTAAAATTATTTTATTCATCTTTCAACATTTTATTGTTAATACTTTAGGAAGCGATTCTAGAGCTCAAGAGAACATGTGTTAATGGTATGTCTCCCTCTTATAATTTAACTAAATAAATCAATAATAATCACCTAATATTTATTACAATTGAAATTACAGAATATTTGTTTCAAAATATAGAGAGAGAGATCCACACAGGGGCAGAGAGACAGAGCAATTTTCAAAAATTCTGAGAGGTCAATGAAAATGTGACCTCCATCATTCTTTTAAGCACGACTTGTTTATGCATGGAAAAAACATTGCTTGTTCATGAAAAAATATTCTTTTTATAATTTGCATTAATTTCAAGCAGAAATTACGTGATACCTACTCATTTTTATAAAACATGTACCTGACCTTTTTGGATAGCTGACTTTTTAGATCCAATTTTGTGGAAGGCAAAAATAATTTTCTTTGAAATGTTAACTATTTGCAATTTTCGAAAATAGACTGCTTCAAAAATGAGACTAGCAAATTTCTTTTCACTGCCATTTGATATGAGGGTAAATTTTAAAGTAAAATTTGGAGTTGTTTTTGGAAAAAAAATGTTTAAAAAATAAAAGTTGCCTATAGTTCACAGAAAATTACGCGGACATTGCTTTTATTTTCAAAGAATTGTACATAACTTTATTTTATGATTATCTTTAGAGAACACATTTTGTTAGGAAAAAATCTCTAGCTCCAATATTGTAATTGTAGAAAAATACAAAAAATTGTACTTTTGCAATTTTCGAAAAACCAGAGATTTTATCGAAAATGAGACCCGCATCATTCTCTTAAGCTTCCTTTACGCCATCAAAAGACAAAATTTAATCAAAAAACTTGAAGCCATTTTTGAGGAAACTTTGAAAATGTTGTTTCAGGCTTCATATAAAGATCGCTAAAAAATCAAAATGTCCGTTTTACACTCAGAAGATCTCGAGTTCATTTAAATCGATCGGGAAATATTAATATTTGAGAAAATTTGATAGATTTCAAACAGGTGGACGAACAGACATTTTTCCGTCAATCAATTTTTCGGTACATCAAGGATACAAAAACCTGGATTGTGATTAGAGGAAGTAATTTACTAAGCGTCAGCAATAAGAGAATTTCTGGTAAAAATTCCCCGTTTTTCGGCGCAGGATTACAATACTTTCTCCTCTTACGAAATATGAGCGAGAAAGTAAAAGTGTGTCCTTGCCTTCCTCCTCCCCCCCCCCCCAAGAAAAATGAAAATGTTATATGTGGGTTCATTTGTCCATCGTGCATGGCTTAGGAAATGTGTACCACCATTGGTTCAAGAAAAAAAAAAACTAGTACTACAATAGCACATACTTTCTCGCATTATTTCTTCCTGTCCCACTAAACTATATACTACACGAACGTGCAAAATTTTCAACCAGAAAAATTTGTTTCCTGCTCCCTGACTCGGACTCAGGTCCTCAGAGTGTTAACTCACCTTTAGCCATACTTCACGGAGTGACATTCGAGCTCGAATCGGCGCTTAAAATTCTAATTGTCTCAACCCAATATTTCCAACACGCAATTTTCGAAAATTCACAGAGATAAACGAAAATGAGACCTACTCCATTATTTTAAGCGTCTCTTGTTTTATACATGGAAAAAAATTAAAGAAAAGTATGGCCAGTTTTTGAGAAATTGATCTTTTTTAGAATTTGCATTAATTTCAACCAGAAATTCTGTGAAAACTACTCGTTATTTTTAAAAAATTGTACATGACTGTTTTTGAAGAACTTATTTTTTCGAACAGATTTTGTTTATGGCAAAAATCTCTACTTGAATTTGGCAGTTTTGAAATGTTATGCACGCAATGTTTTCTGCCTAATGATGTGGTCACAAATTAGCCACGAAACGTTGTAGTCACCTATATTCCACATTGAATTGTCGATTTAATGTGAATGTTTTAAGATATTTCATTGACTATAATTCTTTTGAAAAGCAATGCTTATTCTAAAATATTAAGACAATAATAGGGGTAGTAATTGTATCTCTTTCATTATTGGGGTCACTTCTCATCCTTTTTTTAAAGCTCGGAATCGTAAGACTGATTTTTCAATCTTGTAGTACATCCCTGAGTTCAAATGTATTATTAAATAATACTTTCTTCTGCTGTTCTTTTAATCTCTCTCCTCTGTACTTCAGCATCGCGTTGTTTATTTCATCTTGACACGGAAAGTTTCGGTTCTTTAAAGTTTTATTACGAGGTAAAGTCGGAGGGAATATTGAACTTAAACTGCATTTTTCGAAATATCAGAGATTCCAGAAAATGAGACCCTTGCCACTTTTAAATAGTTCTTTACACTAAACGTACAAAATTTAATCAAAAACATTGAAGCTAGTTTTGCGAAATACTTGAAAATATCTCCCTAAATCAAAATGGCCATTTCAAACTCGCAACGCTTCGAGTCCGTTCACCTCGACCGAATAATCTCAATTTTGGAGAAAATCGTTTGAGGCGCTAGCGTTTACAAAGCTACACAAAACATGGAATCTGACAACACAACCTGTTAGAGGTAGTAATTACTATGTATCGAAACAAGATTTTTCCAGTTTTTCGTATTCCCGGCCATAAGTACTTTTGTCGAGAAATCGGTGTTCCTGCAGCATTAAAATATATTCTCTACACTGCGTAAGAAGAATGCAGGATTTTTTAAACATTTATTGCACCCTAACAATGGATAAACCACTTTACAGGTTTGAAATGGAAAATATTACAAACAATACAACCTAGAAAACATTTTTTTCTATATATAACTAAACTAGTGGTGCTACAGAATGACGCAGACTTTCTCAGCTGGTGGGTAGTCGAATGAAGAGGACGAAATCGAATTCAAAAGGAGTGATGAATTTCGTATTTTGAATAAATTGATTTATTCTCAGAAGAATTAATTCCTTGAATATTTTAGACAGTATGCTTATTGGTCTGTAACTGGAGGCGTGTTTCGTGGATTTTTCGGTTTTATTATGGATTTTTGCAGCTTGTCGGGATATAGCTTAATCTAAGGCAGCCGCTGAAGATGGTAATCAAAAGTAAGGGGGCTTGCATCCCTTGTTATTTTGTGAGGTACTATCACGGCACAACGTTCGCCCACCATCCCTTGCTTTTAGGCCACCTTTCTACCGTCTGAAGTAGCTGATAGGTAAGGCGACCCGCGCGCGGCGGCGACGACTTATAACTTTTATATATATATATATATA